TGCAACTTTACTTAATACTTATAACTTTAATAAAAATTACTATTTTTATTCTTGTTAAAAATAATTTATTAATAAAATAGTATCATATTTACATTTAAAAAATTTTATCTAGTATATATTAAAGTAAAGAAAGAAAATATAGAGTTAATAATAATAAAAAGTAAAAAAATATAATATATATATTTACTTATGTTATTATATATACAAATTGATTTTGTAATAATTCTATATATATTAATAATTACATTATTAACAAATAATATATAAAATCTTGATGATTTCAAGATACAAGTCACTAATTAAATAGTGAATAATCATCTCTATCTGAGATATAACATATAGTAACTCATAAAGCAAATAGATTATAAGAAAAAATTGATGAGATACAAATATCTCATCATTAAGAATTGTACAAAGTCAAAAATTATTCATTAAAATACTGCTTATTAATCAATGCAAATTTTTATTTTAATTTATCATTTCTGTTTTATATGATAATTTATTATTTTTTTTTAGTGTTTGGCACAATACAACTGAATTAGAAAAAGAACTTCAGCTCAAAAAGATAAGTATAAAAGCATCTTTTTTTGGTATTATAGAGAAAATAAAAATGATATTACTAAGAATAAAATTTTAATTTCCAAATTTCTTTCAAAAAATGCATTAATAGTTATACTCTTCAACAAGAGTATCTATTTCATGAAATTGTCACATCAGAGTAGGTGGATGTGACTTCCATCAAATATGCAAGAAGAAAAATGAAACTGGAAGCTTTAATGACGATCTAAGACCTGTTCGCACACTAACCTTTTTGCCACGTTATGAGCAAAATATAGTATAATTAATACAGTCTGGAAAATGCTTCACCGCCGTCCAGATCCAACACAAGCTCAAAAATGAGCTAGAGGTTAATTTATCGACAGAGAGCATACAGAGAATACTTTGAAAAATGGCTATCTGCAAGAATAAGATGAAAAAGCCTTTACTCAGTAAAACTCACCAAAGAAAGAGATTAGATTGGATGCCTATGTTTGGAAGCGAATAATTTGGTCTGACGAAAGCAAGTTCCACCTATTTGGGTTGGACAGAAGTACTATTGAAAAAAGCTCAACATATCTTTAAAAGATCATCGTATCATACCCAACAGGTAGAATCTATTCGAATATATTTTATATTTCTTATTAATTTTGTTGCATTTTTTTAATAGATTGTCAGATATCCTTATCTCCACTAGACAATTCACCATTATGAATTCGTTCGTGATATTTGAAATATGGCAGACAGTATTTATTTTGTTGGTATTTAATACATTTAATAAATCATGCGATTCCATCATTATAAAATATTCATTTGTAACTCCAAATACCATTATTGTCCTATACCACTCAAATGATTTTTTCTCATCATTTTGTATTCCGATTCCATTTCGATAACCCCAATCAAAATTATTTCAAAAATTAATATATAATAGAAGTAACTAATAGCAATATTTAATAAACTAAATATTGAATAACTAGATGCATGAACTATCACTCAAATGACTTCTCATCTTTTTGTGTTCCGATTCCTGCATACCAAGATTACATTGTCCTTCAGTATTTCCACCCTCTGCTGATTTCAAGTACCAATCAAATGCTTTTTTCTCATCTTTTTGTGTTCCGATTCCTTCATCATAACACCGACCAAGATTATATTGTCCTTCAGTATTTCCACCCTCTGCTGATTTTAAATACCATTCAAATGTTTTCTCCTCGTCTCTTTGAATTGAAAAATTTTCATAACAGCAACTGAGATTATTTTGCCCGTTTGCATCTCCGCCCTCTGCTGATTTCAAATACCGCTCGAATATCTTTTTCTCGTCTTTTTGCGTTCCGGATCCATTTCGATAACAACAACCGAGATTATTTTGCGCGTCTAAATTTCCGCCGTTTGCCGATTTCAAATACCACTCAAATACTTTTTTTCATCTTTTTGAACGCCAAAACTATTTTCATAACACCACCCAAGATTAAATTGTCCGTAATTATCTCCACCTCTGCTGATTTCAAAATACCACTAAATGTTTTTTTCTCATTTTTTTGAATTCATACAATTTCTATAATAATATCTGAGATTAAATTATCCGCTTGCGCATATAATTTTGACGGTTTCTGAGTATAATTGAAATGCTTTCTCATCATCTTTTTTTGTCCCAATACCATTAGAATGAACAAAACCAAGTCTACATTTCCCCTAGGACCTCCTCCCTTCACTGACTTTGTATAATAAATTACTTTTACAGGATCTCTTTGTACTTCTATTCTTTCTTCATAACACACTCCAATGAGATATTGCGCCATTGTATTCTTGTTGTTTGCTGAATTTTTGAAGCAACTCTAAATTTTTATTTATATGTAGAGAAAATTTCGTATTTTACTATATTTTACTATGTTTTATTTTGATAGTCCGGTAATTTATAGTGGGGATGTGTAATATGATGCTAATGCTCTTCCAAAGTCGTGAAATCTCTTCTGTAATCAAGTTGTCTATTTAGCTAATTTAGTAAATCATCAGCAATAATTTCAGGTGTTAAAAGATTTTCATGATAAGATAATAAACTTCAGAATAATCATCACATGATGAATCTGAACTTTCTGATAATGATATTTCGGAACTCAAACTGGATAGTTCTTTGGAGGTTATTGGTATAGTTTCAGATGTGAAAATTGGAAATTCTGCTGGCGACCAAGCTACCTCTTTTAATATTTGATTTACTGTATCTATAGCTGGGCGATTTGCTAGTGAATTATTCCAGCATTTTTGATAAAGCTCAACATATTTGGGAGGGGTTCCGAGAACATTTTCGTGAGAATATCCATATATATTGGTTGGAGGAGGATGTCTATTAGAAATCATCCATAATAGAACTCCAACGCTAAAAATATCAGATTTTTCGTCACGTCGATAATTCCTATCTTTTAGATAAGCTGGTTCGACATAGCTTATAATACCAAAGTCAGACGATGAATGTGTTTTATCGTCACAAAGTTTCGAATACCCTAAATCCGAAATTTTAATTTCTCCTTTGTGTACAAGTATATTATGATGTAACAATTCAATTAAACGATAAATTACTCATTCGACTCAAATTGAATAAATTTTTTCTAAGTTTGAATAGATATTTACCAAATTTCGATGAATAATACCTTCATCATGTATACATTTTACTCCTTCTACGAGCTGCCTAGCGAAACAGAGCTTATTATTGCCACTCAATTTTATATAATTAACTTTGAAATATTCTTGAAGAGTTCCACCATCAGCATATTCAAGACTAACATATATTTTCCCGAATCAGGTTCTGTGGATAGGTTTATTCAATGAAATAAAATGAATTCAGACATAATTTTGATGTACATGTCCTTGCTTTATAAAACAGACTATTATTTTTACTTTTAGTGATTCCGTAAAATCGTATAATATTTGGGTTGTGATTAACTTTGATTAAGAATTTAGCTACAAGAGAATATATAAGGTGTTAAACTAAAAATTACATTAAGAAAAATATGTATATTTAAGTAAGTTACTTCTTTAATAAATTTATTATAAGAATCCTCTTTGCTTTGATTTATTATGATGAGACATTTTAAGGCGAGAGTTCTTCCATCTTTTTTCAATTCTTCTTTATGTACTTTACCAAACGCACCCTCTCCAATTTTATACATATTAACAAACCCTTTAAAGTCAAAAATTTTATTTGATTTTCTTCTATGGCAGTTTCTAGCCATTTATTGCGTTAAAAGGGGACGAAAGGGACATTATTGATACACGTATCGTCAGCCAGATTGTCTTCTTGCTTTTTATGTGTATAACATTGTTTATAGTTATCGATTTTACTTATTGGTATCGATATAATTTCTGGAGATCCTCTGGTAAATATTAATATAGAATATTTGATAAACCGAAGTATAATACTTGTCATTTCTCACGATTTAAAAAACTAGATGAAGCGTGTTAATTGAAGCCGATTATTAATAATCTCTTCGTTCTAACTATTATTCATTTTTATAATTAATTATTAAACTTTGTTAATATTGAAGTAAATACAGCTGAGTTTCTTTCAATCATTATCATTTCTTGTTATCTATCGAGAATAAAATAAGCTCTTTACCTTTTTATAAAGTTTTAATTTTATCTAATTCCTTTTCAATACTAAATTGAAATATATATTAAACATGAAATTCAAGCATAAATATTCAAAATATCATTTATTTTTAATATTAAACTCATTATCAATTATTATACTTAAAATCTTTAATTTAAATTCCATTTATATAATAAATTCTAAAGGTATTAAGCAATTTTATTAGCTTCATATGAATAAGATAATTCTGCTATTAATAAAAGAAAATTTTGAGATCGAAATAGATTATTAATCCAGTTTGCAGTTATATCCAAATATGAAAGATATGTAATATTTCTCCATATATTTAAAATTAAAGAAACGTATTTTGCATTTTGAATTTCTAATAAAAGATGTTGTTTTGCAATGCTATAAATATTATCAATTTTATTTTAGGATTGAAGTCTGATATCGAAGAACTAAAACCTTTAATTATTTGAATAAAATGAGGATCATGAATAATTTTGAAGGGGTTATACAGTTCTAAGAATAAAGTTCAATAATTTTTTATTAATAATTCTTTGTTTTGCATGATTATATGGTTGTTGTTGAACTTCTTCAATAGTTTCTAATAGTGTAGGTTAATTCAAATTATATTCTAATAATAAATCATCAACTGATTTTTTAAGAAGTGAATTTTTTATGAATATTGTGTAAATGTGTTTTCATTTATATATTGGAGACATATCCTTTAATTAAGGAACTGACTTTTCCAACATTAGTATTATCAAAAAATTTTCATGTTCATGAAGTTCTTGGTTTTGTTTTTCTGGTTTCTTTTTATTTTTTGTTGTTAATCAATTATTATCTTCTGTCTATTAATATCAAACTTGATTCTTTATGGTAAATCCTCAATAATAATATTATTACTTTTATCAGAACTACTTAGTTGACTTTCCGGAAAATAGTCATTATCAGGTGAAGAAATATTACTATTATTTTGTTGAATTTCTAATCATTTATAACTACGGGTTTCATGAACTTTATTTTGTTGTAAATTTGCGTTTACTCATTATCGTTATTATAAGAATAACATAAAAAATAGCGATATTAGATATTTATTTATAAATAATTTGCATTATAAAATCGATTCTCTATTAAAATAGAAACTTTATAAAACAGAATTCATTGCATCATTAATCTGGCACATATTTTAGTGATATTATTATAGGAACAATTCCACGTAATTACGAGATTATTCGTTGCGACGGCAACAGTAGCATTAGTTTGATGTAATAATTTGGTGCGCATGCTGGTGTTTTTAGATACAGCGAATTCAAAAAATTCAAAGTCACAGACGATATACAACAAAACTCCTACGCTACAAAACGTACCAAATGTGTACACTTCTATTGCTTTTGTATGATTTTCTTCGTAATAACTAATTATCTGCATTTTATTCTTAAAACAAAAAGCACCGATCTAGAATATATAGATTTAGATGAATTATTTGTAACTGGTAATTTTGAGGTTTATTCTAAATCATAAGTTACAAATTTTCGAAAAAGCGCAGAAACGTCGATAAAGCTATATTAGATAAATATACGTTGATAAAACTATATAAGATAAATATGCAAGTTTAAAGAACTGAGTTAAATAAAAGTTGACACAATGATCCAATAAGAACAGACTAAGCGAATTGATAAATTGAGATAAAAGAAACAAGAACAAATTATATACATGAAGAAAGAACATATAAAACGAAAATACGAATAATGAGTAAATTTCGAATAATTGATTAATCGTTGTTGAGGGAAATTTATATTGATATATTATGTTAATATCTTATACAGGGGGTGGAAAGAAATATTGGACGTTTTGCACATTTTTGAATTAATATATATCATTGGATCTTGTATTTTTTTGACAATTATTTTATAATAAATTATTTACATATAGTAATGATCTATAACCAAAACAAATCTCATCTTCATATGATGCAGCCAGGCGTTATAAAGCTACGTGCAATTTCCTATCAAAAAATCACCCTTTAAATTTTACCGCATGATGTGCCATGAAAAAGAATTAACAGAAAGTCAGAAAGATGGAATTATTATTGCAAAAAAACTTGGCCACACACATACCAAGATCTCTAAGACTGTAGTTTGTTTTGTAATCCGCATGTTAGAAGCACACAAGCTTCTAAAAAATGATCAGACCATCTACCAATTCATAACAAATCTGCATGCAACCGTCTCAAGACTTCAGTAATCTGAAACAAAAATTCTCGCCATTAAACTCTTTCCCAGGTTATACAAAGTATTAGAATCATAATATAAATATCTGAAACATTCTATAAATAAATAAATATCAGAACCTTCTATAAATAAATAAAATTAATTAAAAAAAAATCTTCCAATATTTCTTTTACCTCCCTCCCATGGACGATCTGATTGTTTTTTAGATAATTTTTTAAGCTCATGTGCTTCTAATATGTGGATCACAGAATAACCTACAGTCTTAGAGATCTCAGTATGTGTGTGGCCAAGTTTTTTTGCAATAATAATTCCACCTCTCTGACTTTCTGTTAATTCTTTTTCACAGCACATCATGTGATAAAATTTAAAGGATGATTTTTTGAGAGGAAATTGCATGTAGCTTTATAATTCCTGGATACATCATATGAAGATAAGAATTGTTTTGATTATAGATCATCACTAGAAAAAAATAATTTATTATAAAATAATTGTTACAAAAAACACAAGATCTAATAATATAAATCAATTTAAAAATATGCAAAATATCCAATATTTCTTTCTACTTTCTGTATATTGAGATTGAAATTTTAAATCTCTAAACTTATCTTATTATATTTTGTCATTACAAAAATGATTATAATAAACTTCAAAATTGATATTTAATAGAAATATCAATAGTGCTAGTTTATTAATGATAAATTAATTTGGTGATAAGACTAGTATTATAATTATGATGCATGTAATAAGCATTACATATATATGTATTATTAATGTTAATATTAATATTAATTTTCTCATAATTTTCAGATGCAAAAGGAAATTGATCTCACAAAGTAAATATGTTGATGATCAAATTTTTGGCTTATTATTAATATTTATCATGAAAGGATAAGTTGAAGTGGTAATAACAATATGATGATATTCACATATTGTGGAGATATTATTACTATAGTAACATAAAATTCTCTAATCTCATAAACTTTCTTTTATTATGTGAAATTTCATTTTTCTATAATTTTATAATTTAATATATAATTCTCTTATTTTTTTTATCTAATTATATATTTATTTATTTATTATATTTATTCTTTATATTCAAATTTTTATTTTTATTTTTATATTTTATTCTCTTTATTTGAGATCTATATTTTTAATTTATATTATATACATATTTAATTTAGTATAGTAGTTGAAGATCTCTTTGATCTTTTGGTGGAATAATAAAATACTAGTATTTGGTAAAATAATAAAACATTAGTATTTGACAGAATGATAAAATACTAGTATTTGATGAAATGATAAAATATTAGTATTTGGTAAAATAATAAAACACTAATATGTGATGAAATACTAGTATTTTATATTAGTATTCTGAAAATACTAATATTCTAAAAATATCAGTATTCTGAAAATACTAGTATTTTGAAAATACTAATATTTTGAATATTAGTATTTTAAATACTAGTATTTTAGCATATCATAGATCTTTATAATTAAAGTATATTAATATATATATTTAAATAATATTAACTAGTAATACTATAATAATTTATGTATTTGAAAAATATATAAAAGAACTTATTATTTCAGCTTGAAATAAATAGTTTTGGATTGAATTATTTGAAAAATATAATTAAAAAGCTTATTATTATAATAATAGTAGTCTTTTTAAAGATTTCTTTTCTAATTATATTAGTATTCTTTTTTTCACTTGGTTTTATTTCTTTAATCATACAAAATTAATTTTAATTTGAATATAATATTATTTTGATTTTTGATTTTTGATATTATTTTGAGAATAAAAAATCTCTACTATATTTTATTATTTTTGAAAGTAAAAGATCTCTACTATAAATAAGTTATACTCTTTTTTTATTTAGTTTGTCATTTATTTTAGTTCTATTTTTTTTAGTCATAATTTTCTTTGATTAATAGTAATTTTACTATTTAATCACTTTAAATTTTGAATTATATTAATTGATAGTGACTTCACTTATTAATCTTTATAATTTTCTTGATTTATATTATTTTTTTATTATTTAATTATTCTTTTTTAAAATAATATTTATAAATATTGACACAAAACTTAGAAATCTTTATTAGTAATAAAGTTATAGTCTAATTTTTTTCTCTTTATTCATTAATTAATTTAGTTTCTCTTAACTTAATATTATTAAGATAAATCCAAGTAAAAACTTACTTATCAGATTTATTATAATATATTTTTGATATTTTCTTTATGGAAAAAGACTCCTGTAAATTTCTTATTATATTTAAATTCTTTTTATTATTTTATATTTCATTTTTAATTATACAAGTAATTAATAAATAATTATGTCTTGAGTTTTCATGACTATTTATTATTCTTTTATTGAATTATCTATTAATTATATTTAAAAGTATATCAAAATCCTAATTTTATTATTAGAATACCTATTCAATATTTTTATCTCTATTATCATTCTCTTTAATTCAAATTTTCTTATAATTTAGACTTTTTAATTACTTATTAAGAATATTGAAACAGTATCTATAAATCAAATCATATATTTATTATTTAACAAATTAATTTAACTTGATCTTAGTAAGATATATACTATTGAACTCAAATAAAAAAAAGCATAATTAGTAAATACTTTTATATTTGATTATATAAATATTCAAAAAAAACAGTTAGATTTAATTAAATAATTTTTTAACAGTTTATTTATCAAGATTTTATTCTATAATCTCAATTAAGAATCTCTTCTTATACCAATAATATTGATAGCTATTATTCTGAGACTAAAAACTCAGAAGAATTATTAACTTTACTATTATAAACAGATAGTATTAAATAGTAAATCAGAAGAAAATAGTAATTATTTAGATTTAGAAAAAAATAATAATATCTATATAAATTTAAAAGAAAGTAATTAAGAAACTAAAGAAATAAATAATAATCAAATAATTAATAATAATAATTTGAATGACTTAATTATAGTTCTTAAAGCTCTTACTAATTGCATAACTGAATAAAATAACTGATTCATAAAGAAAATTATCATTTCTATTAGAAAATATAGAAAAAATAATCAAGATCTAACTGAATAACTCAAAGACTTTAATATTACTATCCAAGCTAATAGAATTATAACTTCAAGAAAAGTATAATTTATTAAAAGATATTTAAAAGATGTTACTGATCTGTGATATGATAAAGAAATAGAGATAATATTACTTAATTAATAGCTTAGAATAATAATAATGATTATTCATATAACTTTTATTATTAATTTGCTATATATTTTTAAATTTGAGAAAGAATAAATCTGTAATAAATTAGAATAATTATATTAGATTTATATTTATTTTACAGATCATTACTATACTATATACTACATCACATATGACTTATTGTATCACAATTACTCAATTATACCAAGAAAAGTTATATAGTATATTTGAGTTATTTTAGCCATAGATAGTTTCTTAGTAGAATTTCTTTTCTTTCTTATTCTATTAATATAGCTAGTAAGTTACTTATTTTATATTTCTCATTTATAATTATTTATTTCTTTATTTATTTATTAATAAGCATCTTCCAGAGATACTATTATATAAGTATTATCTATTATTAATTTATTTATTTTTATTATTAATTTTATGTAACATTAATTTATTATTTAAAGATGCTGTATCTGTTCTGTAATTTTAAGTACTAATAATATTAAATAAAGAATAAGTTTAAACATAATTTCTTGTTTGCTTTTGATTTAGTTTTCTGTGTGAATTCTATCTCAAATATAATATTATATCCTGACTTTTCTGTATGAATTATCTGGATATATTATATTACATAACTAGAAGATTATAAAATCAATAATAAGATAAAATTGAAATATTATAATAGACTAGTACTGTAAATAAATATATCAATAAATTTATTAATCTACTTCATAAAGTAGATTCTAATAATAAATATTTAAAAAAATATAAAATCTGAACTTACAGATGAGAATTTAAACTAGAAATTAGAAAATAAATATAAATTTCTATTAATAAAACTTTTCTAAACATAATATAAGTTACTAAAAATGTAGAAAAAGCTAATACAGATATTTTAACTTATAAATATTATTAATTTCAGAATAATTTAATATTAAATGCTATCTTAATAGTTCTTCAAGATCTTAACCAGTATATAAAAAGTATTGA